AAGTAATGGATGAGCTATTGACAAAAAACAAACCACACAGTGCTTCCCGATTGTACGATTGACTGGAATGAACTGACAGAATCGCAAGCGAAAATGACGAATTCCCAAGGAGGACGAGGAAGATAGATGAGAGTGAAGGGACTAACCAAATCAACCTATGTAATATGGATGAAGAAACTTCATGAGCATACTCCAGCTCATTGGATTAGCTTTCAATGCTCCGGTATGCTACTTCAGTCTCATATTTTTGCAACACTTCAATTTATGATGCGGTCAAATCGAGTTGCTTAGCCAAAAGAAAATGGTANGTGTGTGTGTGTGTGTGTGTGATGATCACCCGACGGGATTAAACCACCGGGTCGTGAAGACCGGTTATTCTATGATAAAAACCGGCAACCTAAGCCCCGGGGTTTGTAATGGTGAACAATCACACATGGCTCCGTTAGGTTAAAGTGTGGCACTGACCCGGATGACAACAAAGCTGCCTACCACCATAGTGGCGTGGTGGTGACGGGATTCAAACAATAGGACCCCAAGGAAGGCCGATCACAGCGACTAAACCACCAGGCAAAATATTCTTTTTCAGTGTATTTTCCATAAGTTATGTGTTTGCCATGCATCGTTAGCACCGGGGCACTCTGGAGAAAGAACACAAAATTCATGTTTCTGAGGCTCATATATGCTAGTGGCAATAAATCACGAAAACTGTGAGCCAGTTCCCCCACCCACCCATCCACCCACCCCGGTTTCCAGTATTTGTTGCTCGTGTGAGCGTGTTCGATTGGCGGACGCATGGGTGGGCAAAACAGCTGTTGTTTTGCCTACTACTATTCATTCATTCATTCGGACGTAAATTGTGGCGGTAGCCCGTCAACGGTTGCCTATCCTGGAACAATACAAGCTGAGTAACAGAAACTAAGAAGTTTTCACAAAACCCCACGAACCCCGACAAACCTAAGCCGCTTTCTGACACAAGAAAAATATCATGCTTGTAATTCCCTCTCTCTCTCTCTCACCCTCTCATCTATCCCTTGAAGAGGTGAAGAACCTCGGTCAGTTATTGTGCTGGGTGAATTTGATCTGTTCCGAGTGTGTGTTTGCAAGACGAGGATTTAAGAAAAATAATACCGCACCTCATGCTTCTCAAAGTGCACACACACACACACACATCGTCCCTTGTGCTCTAACCGTGTTACTGGTGAACACCGGCTGGAGTGAATTTTTTGAAAATTGCACACAGTTTAACTGTTCGCACATACGAATCAGATGTGTGATAAAGCATTGTCTCGCCTACACACACACACACACACACACACACACACACACACACACACACACACATACAGTGTTTCTCGAAATTTTCTCTAACTGCCTCCGTACTTTCCCAAATGCACTCATCAAATGTTTCCCCGTTCCGGATGAAGTATTCGTTCTGTTTCACACCCACTCGTCATTCGCCAAACTCGAAGTCGGTCGTTTGAATGCTATCGAGTAAATGGCGATCGTTTCCGTCAGACTTGGGTTTTGAAAATACGACAAAAAATTAACACTTCGAATTAGGACGAAGCGTTTCTCATCGGGACATTGTTTGTGATTTGTTGTTTATTTCCTACTAGAAATCGGTATTCCCGAAGAAATTTCTTTTCGATATATATCACATCAAGCGTTTACATATATAAGTTGATCATAGTACAGGTATCTGATTGGCCGATCAAAGCTCAGTTAGTAATGATGACAGAAGTGAGCAAACAGAGGAGACGACTTAGACAAGGCTAGTGATAGTTGTGGATAGGGGTGAGGGGACAAAGGTCAAATGGACAATGTTAGAGAGATGGGCAGATTAAAATGAAGGTTGTGAGCTAAGACGAGACAGTAGGATGAAGTTACTTAAGATACAGTAGAAACTATATATCATGCATAGCAAGTGACGTAATCGGGAACGGACACCGAGGACAAAAATAAAAAAATAGTTAATCTTTAAGATTGTGGTTGATGATACTAGATGAGGAAGCGGGGTGAGTGGGGAGGAGGGTTGATGCCCTGTTTTATGCACAATCTATTCGTTGTCCAGGCCAGGGTAACAACAGTGTCTGGACCAACCGTTTTTGCTTGCTGGATTGAAAATGCGAATTGCAATCGCCTCAGCCGTGGTTAAAAGTTGCCTTCTTATTTCCGTGGAATATCTCCGGACTATAGTGCGAATACTTTTGAATGCATCCATCCAACTTGTTCACAAAATACCCGCTATCGATGAGATGACCGAGAATTGAGCTGCGAATGAATCTGACTGCTATTTTGTTTGTCATTGTTTTTTTACTTCCTTTTTGAGGGCATGAACATGTACATTCAACTTTGTGAAAGCGCGCCACGGCCATGTACAGACTGACCAGTGAAAAAAGCGAGATGACACCGGTGGCGGGGTTCGAATGGAGGACTTCCGGGTCGTCAACCACTTGACCACTTGAGTACCACCACCATGATCGTCACCTGTACAAAAAGTTTGTCCAAACCCCAAATGAGACCAGTTCAATAGGAAGATTGTTTTGCATTTGTACCAAGCTACTGAATTTTGCCTGTATCTGTCCCCGGTCGGTTCATCTTTGCATCCTGATGGTCGTTTTGATGACAGTACAACAGATTTTATCATTCAACATTTTCAGTGACGAATTTCAGCAAGATTTCGCTATCTATCCGTCTTCCTTTTGTCGTGAGTGATGATCCACAAGTTTTGCCTATGTTCCCATGTTTCGGACGTTAAGGATGCTACGAATCACGGTCCGTTATCACTGGTTGGTTGGGTTTTTTACCTTACCCAGTTCTTTTAATTACTATCTGCTCGGTATGCATGTATGCATGGTCATCTCAGCATACTGCATACACACACACACACACACACACACGGGAGTTTTAAAAAACCCTGACATGGTGTGACAATAACCAATTCAATAGAGAATGGCCTACTTAGTTATTCTGTGGATCTCTGATTCCGTGATCGAATTCTGTACGTATTCTCATGGAGAATTGGAACAATGATAGATTCATCTATTCTAACTCTATTTGGTTTGCATGTGTGTGAGAGAGAGATTTGACTACCACAGTCAGAATGGGGCACAGCCAGTGCGTCTGTGTGTGTGTGTGTGTATAACACAACTGGAATGCTATCCGATTTCATTCCAAGTGTGGTCTTTTTATATGACATTGAATTTTGTTGGCTGAATATTTACTGCGCATACTACTGGTCTTATCCCCGTCCACGTCAGCGGTCCCTGAGGCTGAAAGCTCTACATACACACACACACACACACAGGCCAATCATACAATACATCACAATACAATATAATGAACAGCAATAAATTGCAATGCAATAAAGCGTAATAGAACAAAATATGATACATATAATGGATATGCCTTTGATCAGGAACCCGTGCAAACCGTTTAGATCTGGGGACTCTGACAGTCCGAAACCAAAGTTTTGGATGCGGAGCTCACTTCGGCATAAATTTTATTTCATTTGATCTCTTCGGGACTATAGTGCTACTCACAAGATTCCCCTTACTATTTCTTTGAATAAACCTGTCGACGAAGGTAATAATTTGGCATATTTTAGAGTTATTTCACCGAATATCTATCGTAGAAATGTCTTCTCTCTCTCGCCCACGGTTCTAGTTTTGTTCCAACAGAACTAAAACAGATTCTCGGTTTATGCGATACTTCAAAAACCTACTGGCTTGTCGAAGGAAAATTCCTATTAATCTCTTTCACTCCTTCATATTGGTGTTATCCTGATCACAGTTCGTGTATTTGCTAGTTGAATTTGTCAAATTGTGTAACACCGGAATCTGCTTTCTGGTCAATTTTCGATCAATGTAAGTTTTTCTCGTTGCCCTGATTTTGCACTTGAATGCAACATGATGACTACTGACATCACGATTAGATCGCGATTCACCCATCCCCACTCCCGTCCGTTCATGGCTTTTCCTTCATTCATTCTGAATAGTAATCCCGTTTAAATTGCTAGTTCCTTTTTCCATGACATAAATATCAATTGCTATTGATCAAACATTGATCAGTTCATTGATTTTCGGTGCAAATAAACATACCTCATCCCAACTGGTCCCGCGGTGAGACGTTTCAGTGTGATCATGGGCACTGGCGAACCCGACAAAGATCGAGCGTTCTCTTCTCGTTCGTCACCGTCCACAACCAGACGAAGTGCCGGAGCTTTGGGAAACCAGACGAGGAGAGTGGCGGTCGCACTACGGCCGTCCAATTTGGCCACCAACGGTAGACCGGGTGAACCGTCCAACTCCGCACCCGAGAAGCCCAATTTACGACAATCGTCCGAGGCGAAATGAATGACCGCATCGTCTCCGGAATGACAAGTTGCTCGACCGGTCACATCCACTAGACGTGTATCATGTGTCAAACCGTACACCCATACCGGGAAGAGCTCCGGTTGACCAGTTAGGGCAGCCAAATTGACCAATGCAGATGTCTGAATTGTTAAATCAAGACGAGATTATTTGTGAATGCGGATTGAAACACGCGGAATGAATGAGTGAGTGAATGATTGAGTTGCTTATTGATGAAAAAGGTGTCCTTCATTCCTTTTTCGTTTATGTCAAAAGGTAACTATCCGTTGGAAGTCGACATGTCGTAAATATGATTTCGTTCACTCCTCTTTATTGAATATACAATGATACATTCAATTTGCAAGGCGAGGCATATGATATGGTCAGTCAGTGCAGACATGTTGACAATATTCATGACTAAGGGCAAAAATCGGTTCAAACTATAGATTGTACCATTTTCCCTCCTTTAGGTGGAATTCATCCCGTCTGGGGAGAATGAATATACTGGTGATTAAAAGTACACCTTTTTGAATCTGAAATGATCCTAGAGACAAAATGGGGTTATCGTATTCTTACTAGGTAAACGTTTCGCTCCATCTCATACTACTGCTGTTCATTAACGCTAACCAGTGTGTAGTTGGAGAACTTCTACATTGAACAGCTGGAGTTGCACTATCGAAGGGGGGGGGAAGGTGTTTGAAACGATGATCTATC